TGAAATTCGAGTGGTTGCAGATGACCTTACTTTGCTGTCGAGGCGTTGTTCTTCGGTATTGCAACACTTGGCTCCCTGATGGCTGCGTTCTCAGGCGGCACCCACAAAACTTCATAAAACGTATATAAGAGACACGTATGAGCTGCAGAAACATTAGCACCTCTATGTTTACTCATGATCACCTTAGAAAATCCTCAAAAGTCGACACCTACACGAAGGAAGGGTTTCAGTTGACTGACTCGAAGAGCATGTGAATTACTCAGTGATGCACATAAAGTTTGGGATTTTGTCGAAAAAAACTGAACATTTGGACAAAACCAAATGAATAGCTTTCTATGATCCTTGGTAGAGGCATAAAATATTTTTCATTCAAAGAAAGTTGGGAGTTGGCATGTCTTCCATCCACTTTGATGATATCATCAGTGTCCAGGGATGTGTCATTGAGTTTTCTGAATGACAATGAAAGTTTCATTTTCTTCTAATCCAACAGTTTATTACTTCAATGAAATAATTGTTTTGACTATGTTCACCTCAAACAAGCAGACCATCATGGATGTCATATTCAACCAGAATGCAACCTGATTATCTTTTTTAACATTTTTCATGATGACATTACGATAGAAGCTTAAAAAATAAGCTACGATTTCCTTCATTAATTTTCAGTAAGAAATATTTGCCCAATTATATATCCAGATCTTTGTTACTGGGAATCACTACAAGCAACGTTTTCATCCTCCAGAATTTCAAGAGATAAAGGTTCATCAAATATTCCACTTGAATTTCAATTGAGCCGCGAAGGACCATTCCACGATGTTTAACGAGTTCCAATGGGTTGGAACCCCTTGATGCTGCATCATTTATCAGTAGAGAGTTTGTTTTGAATAGAAGCTACTCAATTCTGGAAACAATTGTGGAAACAAATTCTGTCGAATTTGCTAATAATATACAACCACACAACTATTCTAATCGTGATGGTGACAATATTTTCAGAGGAAATATCTTGGTTTGTGCACAAAGTAAAAAACATTTGAAGGATCCATATAATATCCCAAGTAGGTCATGGATGTATATCTTTTCAACAAACTGTTACAAAATCCCACTCAATTACCCTGAGAACTAGACAAAAAGTCAACAAATCTGGAAATCTTCAATTGTGCTGAGACTGGAAGCTGATTTTCAAATTTCGACGGAAAAGTTTTTTCGTAACCTCATACTGTCGTTTTGATTTGACGGTATTAGAAGACAATTGAGAATTTGATGTTTACAGCGTCCGTTCGTTAAGATTTTTTAACGGCCGGCGGCTGTTAAAAGCAACCGTGTATGATCATCTTTCTAAAACAGAAATTTCTTCGGAAAAATTTCTGCTTTGTTTGTTGTGTATCCATCAGACTTTCGTCTCAAGAACAAAAGTTATTTTATAAATCTGAAAATACCCTTTCTGTAGATAATACTGTAATATGGTGTACGATTTGAAAAACTAACCTTGAAATGTCAATGTTGTCATAAACTTTCGAAGCAAGTGTCCGTGATTTGTTCTTTCCTCGGAATCAAAATGTAATCTTTCAACGGCTTTACGAAAAGTATTGACGACACACGGCCAATACGCAAATACCGGATTCGTTTGTTGTATTCCTCGGCTGCACTTCAAATTACAGTAATCAACTTCATCCAACATTTGCTATATACCTATAGGCCTTGTAATGTTAATAACTATTTCCAAAGAAGTGCCTTCTACTTTACACTTTCAGGCTTGATAACTGGATGTTGGGCTGAATAATATAACTCACCACAGGTTTGAAGCAACAAATCCGAAATCTTTTACATAAATCCCGCTTCCAAATATCCTTCCATAAAAACGTTATGAAAAATATGCAACAAGGGATCTATAATAAATTTTCTTTCTAACGAGTGAAGTCTTCGCATCGACATTTCCCTAGAATTTCTAAACGAAGGATCAATTTTTTTGCGAGGTAGGATTACCAGTACCAGAATCTCGAGTGAATTTTTTTCTCATTTCTTTGTACTTTTTCATTTTTAATGTAATTTATCCACTCCCTACACCGTGGGATAAGCGATCTTTGGGTGCTAGAATCAGAAACCTTTATACCCATCACTTGACTGCGGTGGACTAAGGTATTGAAGACACCATCGTTGCATGCCATGATGACCCCCTCAGTTTCCAACTTCAGACCACTCGACCTGAGGAAAGCGAAAGTCAGGCGCTTTGATAAGAAAAGGTCTTCAATGTCATTGAAGAAGACCTCATGCATTGACTTATCCTTGTGTTGCCGCAGAAGTGGGGTGATCTCTGCGGATTTCATATGAGCCTTTTGCTGAACGGGTTCCAACTTGGTGACAGAATTGTGATCACCTCGTTCAGTGTCGAAAACTGAACCGAGTTCATTAGCTGCTCGGGCAGCTGTCCTACAGAGAAATGGTCTAGTTCCTGCTCTCTCATGGTCGCCGACCATGCAGAGAAGGAGATCCGAACTCCCGACGACTTTGCAGGCTACATCCAGTGCCATTCTGTCATGTAGATAATCCAAACTCAAAAGTCCACGGCCTCCCTGTTGTAGGGTGAAGTACAACCGTGAAACGGACATTTTTGGGATGCGAACTCTCATGATGCATTGCACTGCGTCATAATTATTTTTCGGGTCTTTACGCCGAGTTGATAAAGCTCCCCCGGTGTCCACTTCACTACTCCAATCGAGTAGAGTGAGATTAAAACGGTAAGTATATTTGTTGCAGCAACTTTGTTCTTTCCCGGCAATTCCGTTGACTAGATCTATCGAAATTTGTGCTGACAATTGCCGCGGAGAGAGTTCTTCAGTGCTATTGCCTATTGTGAGTGGCGTTGTTCCACCCCGATGTAAGTATTCGCTTCTCCGGCATCCAAAAGGTGAAGGATACTTTCATCTACGAGCTGCACATCCTCTCCGTAATCCCAGCATCGTCCTATTTTAAGATGGATCATTGCACATTTGTATATCCCGAATTTCAAACCGATACCATGCGTTTACTCTTTCACCACCGTCAAGGAATGATAGAGGTCCTTCTCTCCAAAGGCACAGAGTTTAAGATGATTTACATTAAACAAATGGGGGACCTTGTGCCCCTGGTTTTCGGGGGTGCCATATTCATGCCCTAGAGTATTTCTGAGCGAAACGGATAATGGCAATAGTGAGATGCAGAAGAGAAGGGGGCCACCCTGTTTGGACTCTGGCTTGACCAGATGTTACGGTGAAGCGAGTCCGCCAGAGTGGTATCAGTTGTTCAAGGCATCTCACTATTTTTTCGGGTACCGCAAAGCATCATTATCATTATATAGTCTGTGATTTTATCTAGTTATCTTGCTTTGACTTTATAGAAAATGTCTGAGAGGGGCCTTGGTTATTTTTGAAACGCAAGACTTGATGTTTCTGTCGCTTTCATAAAATGTGTCTTCGTGAGGAGAGATATCCCTATTTACTTAATATTTGTTAATTCTCGTTCTTGAGCACAGTTCACGACAGCAGTTTGAACACCTAAAATATCTTTCCTCATTTTGTTCTACATGCATCTATGTGACAGAATAGCAACAAATAGATTTTGCTTGTTTGATTAATGACTTTTGTCCGATTTCTACTTCGTTTTCCATTTCTTACAACCAGTTTCGGTTTCTTAAACTGACGCATTTTGACAAACAAGTCCTTCAATATACTTTTGTTACCAGAAATAGGTAACTGAAATAACAAGAGTTACCAGAATCATCAATACCAACACTAAAACAATAACTTTTTACCTTTTATAAAATATCAAAATATATCAGTTGTTCAAGGCATCTCACTATTTTTTCGGGTACCGCAAAGCATCATTATCATTATATAGTCTGTGATTTTATCTAGTTATCTTGCTTTGGCTTTATAGAAAATGTCTGAGAGGAGCCTTGGTTATTTTTGAAACGCAAGAGTTGATGTTTCTGTCGCTTTCATAAAATGTGTCTTCGTGAGGAGAGATATCCCTATTTACTCAATATTTGTTAATTCTCGTTCTTGAGCACAGTTTACGACAGCAGTTTGAACACCTAAAATATCTTTCCTCATTTTGTTCTACATGCATCTATGCATGTCTACTTTTGTCCGATTTCTACTTAGTTTTCCATTTCTTACAACCAGTTTCGGTTTGTTGAACTGACGCATTTTGACAAACAAGTCCTTTAATATACTTTTGTTACCAGAAATAGGTAACTGAAATAACAAGAGTTACCAGAATCATCAATACCAACACTAAAACAATAACTTTTCAACTTTTATAAAATATCAAAATGACCATGGTGATCCAAAAACCGTACTTATGGATTTCTCCAGCTACCAATGGATCCTAAACTAGTTGTCAAAATTCTAAAATTCGAAAGGGGAGAGCTGCATAGTTCTAGTTAGTCATTGGGGGTTTTGAAATTTGGATTTTCATAGAAGTCATTCATTGCTAATGCTTGCAACATATCCATCCTCCCTAATTCAAAAGCCTCAATGACCAACTAGAACTATGCAGCTCTACACTTCTGAGGAAGCCATTGTATGGCGAAATACGTGTTGCGGTTTTGTAAAACTGGTTAGTGAAAATCTCACAATGAAGCTTTCAACAATATGTTTGATGAAATTTAGTGTGAAAAATCTATAATAATTATCATGGATAATGTTATTTATTTTCTTCAAGTGGTGGGTAATAGTATTCATAATTTAGATACCAGTTTCGGAAATATTATTTATTCACTGACTTTTGCAATTTTTGCCACATCTTCCTCGAAAATTTCATGAATTTCCAGACACCATTCCAATTCTAATGACACAATTTTTGATCTCAGAGGTCAGACTTTCTATGAATGGCATTCATGAACCAAGTAATTACATGATTCATATATCGGATTCTCCTAATTTCAAATCTGCTCATGTATACTCGTTCACTGTTTTCACATTATTCTCATGATAATTTCATTAGGGAAAATTCCATTGAATAACTCATTTAAAAATAATTTTTATTAACAAATAACTTGGATCATTATCATCGATATTTGACAATAAACAACTCAATATATATTATGATAGTAGGTATGATTCAACTATCACTTTCACCCTTGTCCGTGTTATTTTCATCCACCAAATCTCCTTTTGTTACTGAATAAACAGTATAGGGTTTTTTAATTATTTGATGAATACCATTAAAACAGTTAATCTTAATATTATGTTTTTTGTACTCTAAATATTTTTGAACAAAAAATCGATTCAGATCGTGGACTTGCGGGTGACTCATATACTCATCGATATCCATCCACTGGCACTTGGCGATTTCTCGATCACATTTTTCTATATTTTCCGAAAGAGGTTTGAGGCTGACGACCGTGTAGATATCTGAGCAGCCGAACATACCTTTATGCGTTTGTCTGAATGTGAGAACAGATTGAAACTCTGTCAGTATATTTGTTTCTTCTTGTACTTCTCGGATAGCTGCGTCGATCAGATTTTCACCTGGAAATAAATGAAAGATTACAGGACAGTCTATGCATAGGGATCTCGTGAAAAGAAGAGATAGAGTATACGTTAATATAGCATAGTTGCCTATTCTTGTGTAATGTTGGATGGTAACAAATAATCGATCCCAGCTTGTTTTGGTTCAATTAAAAAATAATTCGGAGAAATATATCGCAAGCTCAGTCAAGAAACGGCGATAAAGGACGTAATAAACTGCTATAAGTAGGTCGCAGAATATGATTAGTTTATTTTCTCATTTTAGTTATTTCATTAATATGTTCAATCGATGCAAATGCATTATTCATTGTGATCCGTTTTTGTGGAAATCAATTCTTACGAGACCTTAATAATGTTCTATTTCGTGAGATGGGCCGTCAGTTGCACACTCAGGAGCACTTCCTGGAGTTTTGGTAAGCTGGAAAGCAATATTATGGTAATTATAGGCTTGTTCTACGAAATTCAGGTTCTAGGACGTCAGGATTATGCGCTATTGATATAGAGCGGTCTTGTTTATTGAGGATAAGCTTGGATTGATGAATCCTCTGTTCTGGTTTCGACTGTGAAATGATCCTAAACTGTCTGGAACCATACCGAATCGTCCTTGCTCTCGAGGCTAAACTGTTGAGAACTATTCCCGTTGCTCATGTGCATTCATGTGGAAATTTTTTTGGGCTACTTTCTAGGATGTTTTTTTATTTATTTGATTTAAATAATTGGTTATTAAGGTTAGATAACATGTAAACTGACTACAAGGAAACGCTTCATAACAAAATGGACATGATCAACAGTATTTTCTCATCTTCATCTCTTCATATATAGGATAGGTGGCACAGTGGTCTCCTACAAATTCATTCTGGTTTAACCAAGTGTCCGAGACTATTTAGGACTGTTTGAGATTTTTTGCTTGGACGCAACATGTCTGGCGCAGTTTCCAAACAATTTAGGATGTTAAAACCGGAACAAACCTTATATATCACAATGAAAGTCTTGAATGAAGAGATCCGGCAGAGATTCGAGAGACCTATCGAATGATGATAAGATTTGAATTAATGTCTCAATGAATTTCATTGGAGTTTCATTAATTCCGCTATTTTTTCTAAGTTTGAGCTCTGGATATCTCACTTTTCCTTACCGATGTCAAGATAAACTGATATGAGGTTCATGTTTCTCAAACGGTTGGTCATACTTGCTATAAAGAGATTTTGGAACCGATAAGGCTTGATAAGTATAATATACCCCCAACTTGATCAGTCTATAAGCAAACAAGTATCATTTTCCATAGCATGAAACAAGCCCATTCATTTTATGGAAAAAAATGAAAACGCAGGAATTTTGGCATAACATTTTCAAAACCGTTTCACAAAATGCATGTTTCAAAGTTCTCAAGTAGCCATACAAGGGCTTTCTTCACCATCTTCACAACAAAAAATGTTTTTAGTCTTATTGACTCATTACTGGCCTTTTTTAAAGGCGAAACACAAGCACTATAGAAAAATCCTTGAGGCGCTCTTAGAGTTGTGCCTGTGCGAAAGTAGGTATTCACATTGAATTTAAATCGTTGGAGATCAAATCCATTTGGAAAAACTTTCTCGGGAATATTATTCCATATAAACGCCGTTCTCCAAATGAAAGAGTTCTCAAACAGCCACGATGAGCAGCCACAGTCCGTCGCGTATTTCTGATATGTACTGCTCTCGGTAGAATCAAATGTCACTTCAACACTTCTCGTGAAATTATCTATAGAAGAGAGACAAATCTCCAACCTTTCTTCGATATTCCAGACTATCAAGGTTGCAAATAATGTTCGCGTCTCCAATCAGGAGAATGTTTTTTTTCTGAATGGAATCCAGCAGCTTCGGGGTATGTTTGGGGGCGGAGCTCCATACAGGAGAACTTTATAAAGCATCATAAGTTGCTGGGGTGTGTTCAGTTTTCTGGTTCGGAACAGTATTCCAAGCTTTTGAGAAGCAGCTTTTGCAATTCCAGCGACATGATTGAGCCAAGACACATTGGTGCACATTTTAACTCCCACCAAACTCATTGTAGCAGAAAGCGGAATTGCCTGACCAGAAATTATTATATCCGGTTCATAAAAATTTAGGTTTTAGGAGAAAACCGATGCCTGAGTTTTTGTGGCATTGAATTGTACCTGGTTACTTTCATTTCAATTCGAAATTACTTCTAGATCACCATTAAGATATCGAACCTCCTTTTGCTGGTGGAGATATGCATCCACAGCCGATGTCCCGGAATCCAAATGCAATGACAAGACAAGTGTGCTGTCATCAGCAAACCAATATATTGGATTCTTTTCTTTCCAAAAAGTCATTGATATACAATAACAAGAGGGTTGGAGACAATATGGATCCCTGGGGAACACCAGCGTTGATGGTGAAAGTATTCGAGATATATCCATCGACGGCCACTAGCAGGGAACGTTCTTTCAGAGAGCTAAGGAGCCATACACAAAAATGATTCAACAAGCCGACAGAGTTCCTAGGCTTAGCTTTACATGTGCATCGTATTGCGCCATTTTGTATCAATGATACTTATTGAAAGCATGTGGTAGAATACACACCCCTAAAGCCAAAACAATAATGAAAATGAGATTCAAAGAGGAAATGATAAACCATTCTAGGTACTATGAGCTCCAATGCAGTTACTTTTATTGCATAACATAAAGAGCAGAGCTTGGATTTCAAACTATCTATATGTTTGTTGATTTTTGAATTATTGTTAATGAACATTCCAAGGAATTTAGAAGTGGTAACATTGTCAATTTGAATATTATTCGAATGTACAACTGGGATCAGGCAACGATAGGAAGCTACTTTTGTTTTTGATAGATTCGAAGTTTGGCCAGCAAACTCGCATGCCACAAACGGTCAAAGGCCTTAGAAATATCAAGCGCAACAACTTGACTCTCCATGATTCTTGATTGCGTTATTCCAAATATTGGTGACATATGTATATTCCATTAAGCAATATATACTACTGATATCTTATACAATATATTCATCGTAGACTATATACACTGTGTCCGTGAAGTATGGAACAAATTCATTTTTAGCTAAAAAGGTCATTTTAAGAAATAATCCTGAAACACGTCGATTTTTGATGTTAATTTACCGTATTTTGAAATAATAATCTAATATACAGAGTGAATTACGTTCGAGTAATGACGTCACCGTCATTTTTTTTAAATGGAAATTTTTATAAATGTAGATAAGAAATAATTTCTTTCATATTCTGTCTGCTAGACCACAAGTACCAAACATGTTGGAAACAGCTCATTTTTATTACTCTAAACATGTAGCAAACTACGGGGTGTTACATTTAAACCAATTGCCGCTAGACAATAAGTATTTTTGATAATATTGTTAATTTACCTAATAAAAAATGTTAAGCGTTACTTTATTAGCACACACACAACTACTGTATTTTTGTCCACCCTGTACCAATTGGAATCAACATGTGATACATTTTTGGAATCAGCTCAGCTAGAGTAATCCGAAAATTGAGACAAAATGGGGGTGTTCTATTTAAAAAAAATGACGGTGACGTCATTACTCGAACGTAATTTACCCTGTATATTAGATTATTATTTTAAAATGCGGTAAATTAACATCAAAATCGACGTGTTTCAGGATTATTTCTTAAAATGACCTGTTTAGCTAAAAATGAATTTGTTCCATACTTTACGGACACAGTGTGTAATGATCCTTTACTCTTTATCCGCCATAGTTTTCAGGTTCCTACTGACTTACTGGCATACTTTGAGTACATATTATACTCCCAAAATCATTGGATGTAACATGTGAATAATCTAATTAAGATTATCACTGTGAAGATACCGACTCTCTATATAATTCATCACTACATTATAATACAAAGTTCTCTCCGCCGCGTTTATTTCTTGGTCTTTCTGTCTATCAGAATGCGTTGAATTCAAAAAGTACTCAATTCGAAATGAAGGTTTGTGTGTGTAATTTATTGATGTTTCGTATGGATTCGTTGAAGTATGATATGAGAAGTCGGGGCAGTGATGCCATTCAAGGAGCTTTCATGAAAATTGCTATCGAAACATAACATAACAAATGTTCTGCTTCCATAGATCTACAAAAAGTCTGCGATGATATAAATGTATTTCCTTCAAGAATAGCCTACTATATCCATTTCAATATTTAAAATAAGGGTCACGTATGATGTGGTAATTGGAGACCTATTTAGATGAATATGATACTAATCCCAATTAGGAGTTATCGCAAAATGAAAACTACAGCACGATAAAATGAATTCAAGCGCGTGTAATGAAAAGAGTTTGCAATTGCGTTGCTTTTGTTCGACAAACTAATGCACTTCAAGTTCATTATTATTACAAGCTGGCGTGAAACTACGACAAAAAAATGTAGGCATACATTTTCTGCTACCCGTCCGATGTTGGGTCGGATAGCTGATATATTTTACAGTTTGTCAGGTTTTTTTCTTCAATCCCTACATTTCATTTCATCCTGTGAGTGTCAATTTTTCATCTCAGTCGGCCTGGGTTTCAACCTCAACAGTGATGAGGATAAGGAGTTTTGAAATGAGAAATGTATTGAATTGATTACTCCCTTTAAAAATAAAGATTGACGTGTACCTTGAATTCTCCGATCACCCTTTCAGTTTTAAGTCACAGGGAGGATCAAATTTTCATTGAAATGCCCTGCATGATGCTATCAATTATTTTAAGATGAAAATTAAACGTTTCTCTTACGTATAAATGAAAACATGTTTACTGAATTTGTAATCGAATGGAAATATTGTCCATTGAGATGAGCCCAGTGATTTTTATGACAAAATAACGGACTGGTAAAAAAATTCAACTAGTTGCAATCTAATCAACAGAATTTGATAGTCTTGAAATTATTCAGTTTTTTCATTCGTAAATAATTGATTATTTCCATAATGCATCTTTTCTTCGCATGGTGTGATTACGTTTGAATATACCAAGCGATATAACTTGTCATTTGACCTGTTATTTTTGTTCTGATAATACTTACAGGTTGAGAGACCCAGTTCGTGAAAATATTGAGAAAATAATCTGCAACAATGTAAATGAAATATGAGAATATTTTTTCACCTGGCTCTACATATCCTCCAGGAAGTTTCCAGAATGGGCGATTTATCACAGAGTATTTTTCGCATACAACTAAAATTTGAGACTTGTCATTAACCACAACTGCTCCAACTCCTACCATCGTATGGGCGTACTTTGGAATGTTACACTCTTCGGTTTCAGGTAACCATAAATACATCATGACGTACTCCTCGCGAGAATGGTGGAATTTGAACCCATGCTGCAAATAACAAAATAAACCGCTAGCTAACTGAGTCGATATCATTCATGAATGAGTTCATTGATCATCACGAATATCAATCACACCAACTTGTGCAAATTCATAAAAATCATTCTTCGAGAATATACTCTTACTGAATGAGTTGCTAGTCTCCAATCAGAAACATTTGGAGTTCATTATTTAGAATATCTATACACGATACTAGTGTTGTTACAAGCTGATTGATAAATTGGAGATCTCACTCGGCATTGAATCAATTGCATAAGCTTTCGCAACGTTATGACGATTTTTTTTCATTTTGATACGACTTATTTGACCACTGACTGTGTTTTATTGAGCATTGGATGAGAAAGCATTTTCTTGTGGGAATTAATCGAATGAGAAATACCATCGAAAAAAAAGGATCACATGAACACAGAGAAATAAGTTCCAAGCACCTACACAGAACGAATGTTTCAAAACAATATGACTCGAAACGTCTCGCAGATGGATAACGTGAAAAATATCAAAAACTTAGCAAAATGGCTCTAACCAATGTGTTCACCAGTTTACGAGAACACGCATATATTGTTTACATTTCGTCTGCGATACAGTAACATGTAACTCATCTAATCAAAGTAATTCGATCTATGTGTGGCCAGCCAAATTTGGCTCTTGGACTAACGTTTCGTGGGCGTAGTGGAAACGGAGAAAAATTAAAATATAGGGGGAAGAGAAATGGGAAAGAGAGAAAAGGTTAAAGAATAAAAAGGAAAGTCGAAATGCAAAGTCTTTGGACATCTAAAGATGAACATTGCCTCACGATCCATTACGGGGGTGGGATATATAACGAGTAGCTCTACCATTAGCAGATTCTCAGTTTCAAAGTTACGTCTGAGACTACTCACTTTCCTGAACTTGATTAGAAATACTTTAGGGGTACGTTATAAATATTCGGTACTTATGAGGGCAATGGACCACCTACCATTTTCTGACTTTTCCAAGATGTCCAGCAAATATCTCAAGCACAAAACGTGGATTATGAGGGATGCATTAAGGATAAAATTTTGCAAGCTTAAGGACATCCAGTTTCTGTCAAGAAGATGAAACATCACTATCATGTCAGACCAAGCCTAGAATGATTTTCTTGTTACCAGCATGCAACTTGAATTTGTATTGAGAAATTTTTGAAGCTGTAAAAAATTATTCCTCAAAACCAATGAAAATTCAGTTACGTTTCAGAAACGTTATTTGAAATTTTTACTCAATCGTTGGTTCGAAGAACTGGCTTCAAAATAGAAGTTTGGTAGTTATATGCACTCAAATGTGTGGAAACTTGATTTTTAATTCTTCCTTCGCAACTACTTTTCGGGATTTTTCAAAATAATTTTGTATAAGAGAGGTTTTGAGTATGCTGAATCTGAAATACAAAACAGTTTCCATTTATATTGACCTCTGATATACCTTATAAAAATTCATATCGACTCTTGACCCATTTTCCACTCGTAGGAAACGACGCCAATGGGCATTACCAATTCACGCACTGGATTGTCACCCATGGCAAATGGTAGCTACACCACTGAATGAGTGAATTGCGACTCGACCACACATCAAACTGAACTGTTCATTGCCTGTGGCGCCATCTACCAACCACAAATAGAAAACAAATAATGAAATGTTATTTAGTCTTGTGAATCAAATATTTCTGAGATTCAATTTTGAACAATTTTCATTAAAATCACATTTTTTTGGGGAAATTTCTCATTTTAGCTGGGATTACCGAAAAATTATCGTTACAGTAATTCGTACACAATAGCTGTAAGCTCCGATGGGAAGATGTCGCTGCATGGAATCACTATAAAATGTTATACAATTTTATGTTAATTTATATTGAGAATATTTGATTTCATGGATAAATCAGTATTGAACAGAAGTATACTAGGACCTTCTCGAAGGTTTCAAAAATATAGCGTCATCATCACATGGCGATTTGAACCCATTCATTACCCTTGCTTTGTTGAATGACTGAATTGCATGACTCACATTCTATTTTTATCTTTCTCCAAAACTGTAATAAACTGAACACTAAACTAACCTTTGCCAAGACAGGTACCCAATCTGTGTGTTTGAGGTTAACTTTGAACCACAGTCCCCTTTTTCCGTTTTGTTTCCAGAATTCCAGCGAATCTAGAAACGTTTTTCCAATCAATATTAGATATTTCAGATACTGATGTGAGTTTTACCTTCAAGTTTGCGTGAGAACTGTTCCACATTTTCACACTTTTCTAGAGTAGAGTCAACAGTAACTCCATTGAATCTATCAGTTTTGCCTTCAAAAAGTTTCTTAGGTGTTGCCATCGCTAGTTGTAGACTGAAATAGATTAAAAAAAGATTAGTAGCACATATTGATCCAACTCACTCATTACCTTACTTTTTTGACGTAAAATAATATCTAAAGTTGATAGCGAGATCAGGAAATAATGTATACAACACAACTGTATTCCTTCTACATAACCTCAATGTACACATCAAGTGAGGGTATAATTTTGAAAAAAAAATCATTGAAACTAATTACCATATCAAAATTATTCATCAGTCTCTCATTATCAACGAGATTCTAAAAGTTTATCGGACTTCAGATTATTGACCATGATAGACACTCTGAAAGCGTAAGATGTTATTGACATCGAGTCATTATGTAACGTTTCAAAGTTTACCTACATGTAGATATCGTATATGAGAGCATGTAACATGTGTGAGTAGTTACTATTCACGTAGATCTTGAATGTACCTATATTTTCGTTGATCTCCATATGAAAATACTTCGCGATTAGGAAATCGATTGTTTTCATGCTAACGAAACAATGTATTTCCATTTCCTCAACAGTTTAAAAAAACATATTCGCTTGTGACTAGCTCCATCTATATAGTAGACTTTCAAGTTGAATGTATATGAGACATAAGAACTTGAGGGCGATAATGTTTCACAAATAAAATCACTATTCATGACTTTTCCATTGTCTAAGGATTCATAGACAATTACTTCTCTATGACTATTATCATAGAAGCTCAGAACTGGCATTTTCGTGTACCCTAAAATTCTTAATACTTACCCTGACCACTAGATGGCGATGCTAATATGATGTCAGTATTTAATGTGATTACCAACAGAACTGTGAAGCTGTTGCAGACATTTTAATTTTGGCGTACATCCCGACTTCAATATGATACGGATGACAGGTTGCCAGCGACTGCTAGCTACCTTATCCTGTTGATTGATACTCACATCAAATACTGACATACATCGTACTGCCATTACCCTCTGGTGGTCAGAGTAAGCATTCTTTGATTTTACCAGAGCCGCCACGAGATAATATGATAAACTCGTCCAGATACATCTATCGGACATTTTGCCAGAGCCAGAGGTGAAACAAAAACAAACTACTGTAAGCTGTTTTCATATTCTGTTGTAGTTTCTTGTGCTTCTCGTGAGTGAGTTATTCATTTTGCCTATTCAACAGTTTCTCATGTCTTTTAGTAAACGCACTAAAAACATTTCTCTCACAAATTCACAATGAAATAAATCAACGCACGCAAAAATAAACATAACCCGTGTTTAACATTCAGTTGAACAACGGTATTTTGTGTGATGTGTATGTCAAATGGCTTTCGATATAGATTTTTAAGATATTTTGTGTTGAGAGATAGTTTTGTTGTGAAATTTAGTTTGCATGGACTTTGATTTATAATATGATTGCATTTTTTAGGATGTGATTTACATTTTGTTTTCTTTTGAGATCATGATAAGTACTATGATTCAGTTTGCATTGCCATTCATTGGTAATAATTTTGTTTTTATTTTGCATGTGTCGGTTTAAATTTTCTACCTGCCATTTCTCTATATACTTAATCAATAAACTACAACAAAATATGAAAGTGACTAGGCCTCTGACAAAAGTATTGCTGGATCTGTATCGCCCCCAACGGCNTTTTTGGGAAAGAAAGTTTTTGGCTTTCTACTACTCCATCTGATACAAAAAAAAGGGATGAGATAATCTTCCAAAGAAAGGAAGGAAGTTATCAATTTGAAACTCTATACATGAATGTGTAGATCATTCAAAGAAGTAACTTTCAGACACAAACTGAAGAAAGTCCTCCTGAAACAGCTACTATCTTGCTAAACGCAGATATTGACGACGCGTGGTTCTTGAAGTCCATCCTCTGGACTGACGAATCGAAGTTCTCCAGGGAAGGAATTACTATAATTTTCGTCATTTCAAATATTCATGATGCCTTCAAAATACATTTTTCACTGTTTCGGGATGAACAATAGAAAATACGAAATATTGCTGTACTTTATTGCCAAAGTAACCGAGGTGGTTATGTTAGCTATTTGTGTAGCGCCATTATTGGTGGAAATTCAGCCTCATGAAAACCATTGAGTGATTTCTTGTTGGGTAATTACCTATCTCAAAATATTCATAAACTAATCATATCAGTTGACTAGATTCATAACTGACTACTTTAAGGCCAATCACAGATAATTCATAAGTTTATAATACTATGACAGAAATTAGGGATCACTTCATTCGACAAATATGTGATGGAATTGGTCGATTCTCGATGATAACCATTACTTATTCAACGAACACATAAGTGTGATGTTTATATTGAACAGATTACAAAACCGCAATAGGTGCAATTTGTAAACTGCTACACCAGGCGTGTTCATGCTGAACGCCCAAGTGAAAACGTATTGTAGCTTCACGAACTGTTCAGTAGAAATCTCACAAAGGAGTGCTACTCAAATAATATATTCGAGAAAGTATTTGAAATATGCCAAATTGAAGGAAGAGAAAATGAAAGCGAAAAATGGGATATAATACTATGACTAATTATTAATGGAACTCACAACATGATTCAGCATAGGAGCAGGGTCAAATTTAGTAAATTGTATTATCAACATTATAGAGCCACTCATATTATTACAAACCCACAAAAAGACTGAAAGATAGATTTGTAATCTCTGACGTAAAATAAATACAACAGAAATACTTGTTCCACATACCTGAACATCAATTTTTTCCCAATGTGTATTTTATCAACCAAGCCGGCGTTATAATGTGATTATTCAAACTGTTTTTAAAATATCTGGCAGATCGAATGAGGTTTTTTTTTCTACTAGTAAGTACCTAGTACTAAGTAAGAAGTGGTGATGAGCAACGCATGTCTAGGAATTTGACTGAAAACTCAAACAACGAATGGAGAAAAAATCGAGGACCTCTACGACGGATTCTTGCAAAGCATTTCACTAAAAACAGCCAACTAGATCATACATGAAACAGAGTTTTATATGATTCATTAACAAACCGAACTGTTCTGATCTACCATATATTTCAGTGGTAAAATCTTCCAATATTCAAAGGAAACAAGCCTACCTGAAACAGTACCAATGATGAGTTCTATGACAGATCACACAATTTGTTTTCATAGCTAACTCATTTTTTTAAAAAATAATTGGAAGTGTTTAAAACTAACTAGGTTGCTATATACATTGAAAAATCCCCAACACATTGTTTAGTGATGTTTGCCATATTTATCAAGTTACAACACATTGTTTAGTGATGTTTGCCATATTCATCAAGTTACAACACATTGTTTAGTGATGTTTGCCATATTTATCAAGTTACATTCATCCATTGACTACGGATATTTACTTCAATAATACAGAAAAGACATTTTTTGGAACATTCCAAGACCCTGTATCTTGTAAACAATGCATTTCCGGGTCCATTTTCATATGTACACTTTTCAGAAATCTGGCTCTGAGCACACCCAACAATTTTACATTACAATTGGGAAACACTCTGTATATAAATCTTGGAAAATTTTTACTTAGTCCTAAAAATTGATGATTGTGAGTAAGAAATGTTTTATTGATTAAACAGAGTAGATACACAATGGTTATATAATGTAGAATATAGAAAGTTTAGTATGTCGAATGTAATGCAGAAATTGTTCAATACTTCAAGTTTTTAGGTCTCCTAAAATTGTATTATGCTCAAATTGATTCCAGACTAAGCTACGGGGTGCGCTTCTTGGGCCTATCCCCCTTATCATCGGATGTTTTCATTGCACAGTAGCGCATTATTCGTACTATAGTTGGAATTTCAAAACGCTCATCCTATAGAGATCACTTCAAGAATCTATAAATCCTCACGCTTCCATCACTGTTAATTTTTGAGTTCTACTTATACGTAAAAAAATCGTAGTAACTTCACACCGAACAACTCCAGATACGAATACAAATCACGCCAACAAGACCATTTTTATATTCCTTTCAGTTGTACAACAATTTATTATAATTCAACTAGAGCTGCAATGGCTCCCTGGATTTATAATTCATTACTCGACGGAATAAAAAAGGGTGAAACGCTCTATTGTTTCAAAAACAAACTTCCTAGTGACAAAGTGTTTCTATTTTGTAAAGGAATATTTACAAACTTAATATGTTATCTGCTCATTTATTTCTTTGTTTTTCTGATGTAATTGTTTCAACCTTAAATTATTTGTGTGTTCAATTTTATTTTATTTTACTAACTTGTATTGAGGAATTCAATACAATTTTTAATCGTCAAATGGAAAATAAATTATTATTACTTTCACCCTTTATTTATATTTACTTCTAAGAAAGCAGAGTTCTGCCAGTGAAACAAAATCTCGCTGTATTTCTTATAATAGCATAAGTATCAGAGTTCATCTTCATTTTCATCAAGATAATGGAAAAATATGATCTTTATTCAAACCTTAAAAAATTTGAAAATAATGTTTTCTTAACTTATCTGATTGAGATGAGTTGTGGAGAGAGAAAGGCCTTCAAATTGTCTGAAAAATCTCATAATGAAGTGTTATGCAAATATTTGTGAAATGGAGGAATACATTTTTAGGTCTATTGGTTTCACCTTACTAGGAAAAAATAATAAATGGTCACATATTTGAGATATATATTTAGTCATAGTGTGTTTCATTATAATTTACTATCTTAATCTCAATCAATAGATTTTTCTTGGTAAAATATGTTTACAAGAATACACTTAATACAATACATTTCATAAAATATATTCATTTTCATAAACTAAAAACTTCTGCAAGTTTTCTACGATATCACAATTTGCATTTGGAACTCTCACGCCTCAATACAAATGTACCAAAAAGTACCTCATATGTAAAAATAACGAATTGACTAAATAATTGGAGCGTAAAACTCATTTCGTTTTTAATTGAACATTATGAATACTTCAATAAATACCTATGTCTACGAAACGATATAATTACGGAAAGTTTGAAATTGAGGTATTGATCGTTCAATTCATGATGGAATAAGCAGGTTTGTGCTGAATAAAAATATTCAAAATTCTCACTTTCGTGTGAATAATACATTCACATGTGAATATTGATTTGTTAAACAAACTTCAACTGCTTTATAGAAACGTACATTTGAAAGAATGAAATGATGCACCAAAGAAATTGAAGAGATAAGAAAGAAAAATTGGAAAGGTAGAAGCAAAAAAGGATGTCGACTATATCAATACCATGGCCATGGCTATGTCAGTTTCAACTATTAGGTTCCATTCAGTAAACAACTGTCAAAATGATGTAACAAAAAAAACTTCCGTATTTACAAACAAAAAAACCTCTTTACGTATACATATAAAATTTTAGGGTACAATCTAGAATACTAAGTACATATAATTTGATAGGGCTACGGAGAAAATGTTATCATTCTAGTAGGATTTGATCCTACTAGAATGGGAAGCGGAAATTGAGTATTGATTAAAAATTCATGAAATTCATGACATTGTTGTGTTGACTCCTCTCAGAAAACTGTTATACGAGTCTTAAATGAAATTCTGTTGACAGATGAATAGAAAAAAATAAAATATTGAAATGAACATTCAATAATATATAATTTAGTAATGAACATTTAAAAATATACCTGAAGACGAAGAGAAAGTAAGAAAGTAAAACGATGATGTAAGCGTGGCATCTATTCCTACTGAGACACCATGGGTAGGTCAGAGGTTCTGTAGGATTTTCGTTTTTTTTGTTGAATAACTACTGAAGAGAACTTATGAAGCATCAACTTACATACCATGACACACTTTGTTGTGTAATAACGCTCAGAATACATTGGTCTACCGTTTAACAAGATTCTCAGAAATGTATAATTCCATTACATATATCCGACTATATTTTGTCTTCAAGTATCAATGTTTTTCAGACGAAGGGAGTCAGTGAAAAAACTGAATATTTCAAATATTTTTCGAACATGGAACCCCAAGGTCTATCTGCCATACATAGAAGGTGTCACTAACCGAATCGGAAACACTCACCATCTATTGTCACACCGTCTTCAAACCGACGAATGAAAAATTGGAGTATCTGAGATCAGCACGAGACAGCAGAGATCCACTCAAATCAGCGAAAGGATTCCATGTAACTGCGGTAGAGTTTATATCGGTCAGACGAAAAGGAGCATTGGTATCTACCCGCCTAGTCGAGCACAAGCGGAGTTGCCGGTTGGGACAAACCAAGAAGTCTGCAGTCGCTAAACATGCCAAAGGGAAACACAAGATCTTTTTCAAAAATATCGAGAGCAACGTGAAATCATCATTTGACAAGAATGTATTTAGAAGCCAAAAAAATACACAAACACCAAAAAAACTTCAACAGAAGAACTACGCATTAACAATGCCACAGCTTGACAAGCCCGAAGGCCATAAAGCACAGAATTCCCCCTATCTAACGAAGCCACCGTCAAGGAAACCCCATCACCTCCGCTTCACCCCCTTCACCCCGCGAAGGTGCCCTGTAGACACCTACGCAACGTGTCGGGAAAAAAGCGGGGAAAGCGGACCCTCTTTTTCTTTTATTCATTAATAAAAAAAATAACCCCTATACAACTTTCATAATAACATAAGTTGTCCAGACATTGGACCTTAGCTTTGAAAAAACACAAAAATAAAATGAATTACATTGAACAACCCCAACTTCAAAAATAGAAAGTTCAACTCCAAAAACTGTGAAAAGCTATAGTCTTGATCAATCCATCTACGCAGTAGACTCATGTAGAGGGGCAAGTCGACAGAGATCGCGCTTTGCTTGATTCTCCTGTCAAGCCTTCACTCACCGTCAAGCCTTCACTCGTCGGATAATAATCTTAAGGGATGAAGGGATGTAAAATGACTTAATCCAGTCATTTTACATCCCTTCATCGTCAATGACATGTTCAGCCATCTCGTTTATAAACCTCACCCATTCCTCTTTTACTCCGTTGTCATCTCTTACCTGCGGCTCCCCTCTCTCTCCCACCTCCTTTCTCAGCTTCTCATTCCATCTCATTTTCTTTCAGTCTACATACTCTCACTATGTGTTATGCTGTTTCGGGGTCCCCAGTGCCGCAGGAGCATGGAACTTCCCGGCCTAACCCAAATCTACTCAGGTATCCGGTGAAGTTGCCGTGCCCCGTCATCAGCTGCACCACCTTCCAATTCAACCCCAGTCTTTCTGTCCCTACCAACCTACACCATTCATATGTCCATCTTCCCTTGTCACTCGTGTCCCATTCTCTTTGCAATTTTCTCTTATGCTCTCCTTTATCCTTCTTCTTCCATCCTTCTTGTCATACACTACTACGCTTTTCCATCCTATTTCTTCCTCATTTACTGCCTTTAGACATTTCGCATATGCTCTGGCATTTTTTTCATTTGCTCTATCGTGCCCTTTTCTCCATTCGATCTATGTCTTTTTTCCCCTTCTTTTACGATCCTCAATTTTGTGAGTATCTCCACTGCTCGTTTGTTTTTTTGTCGAACTTTATGTAACATATCGACTGCGATCTTTGAGTCACTGACTACTCTTCCACTCTACTCTATTGCACTCCTTCCAATCACCCTCTCAATCGCTGCCCTTTCCACTTCGTTTATGTCATTCATCCCTTCTACTCTCTCTCTCTCTCTCCTCCCTGTTGCCATGCATCCCGTTCTCTGTAGGCCCAGCCTACGCTCATCCTTCCATCATTCGCCCTACCGGCGTCCACATATACTTCGGTCATGTTTTCACACTCCTCCAGTCCTTTTCGGCGCTCCAGGGGGATACCCTTTCCTTCTCTGTAACTCTTGCCCTATTTTTCTCCCTTTCGTTTGCCATCCATTTCTGATATCTAGTCACCACCTATATGTTGAGTGGAGCTACCCCGGCCAGTACTGTTAATGCAGCAGTGGCGGTCGTCCTGTAGGCTGTACTTATCACCAACAGAAAAGGTCTCTGCGCGGCTAGTATCTGTCTCCTTATCCTCGTGTCATTCGCTCTGGCCCCCCACACTTGTACTCCGTACAGAAGTGCAGGTTTTGCCACCCTTTCATATATTATCCTGACGCACTCTCTTCTTACAGTCAGTTCTCTTCCGGTCCATCTTCTCATTCTCCCCGTCATTATGGCCATCTTCCTACGTACCTCTTTCATGTGGTCGATAAATAGAAGTCCTCTATCAACCAGAATCCCGAGGTATACCTGATATTCTCTTTCGCTTCGATTGTTTTTCCATGCATTCTGACCACAGGTGGTCTCTCAACCTTCCTTGCTACTACAAACATACATTCCGTCTTTTTGTGGTTGTAGTTGACCCATGTTTCGTCTTCCCATTCCATGAATGCCTTCCATACCATACTCCATTTCTTCTCTATAACTTTCGCGGATGGTCTTCCCACAATGAGCATCTGATCATCTGCATAGGCTTGTGTCCACACGATGTCAGCCCTGACATGCTGCTCGTAAGGAACTCCCTCATTCACTCACTAATTTTCTCGTTCATCCATTTCTCTTATCCTTTCGAACCATCTTTCCATGATGATGAGCGTAGGTCCCAGGCTTGATCCCTGTGGACAGCCTCTGTCCACGAGCTCTACCAGTCCCCCACTCATCACTTCCCTGTTCCCTATGAAGATCATGCAAACTCTCCCATTTTTCCAGGGACACACATCCCATTCATGCTGTTTTCGATGGCTGGGGCTCAAGCCGAGTTGAAGGCGTTGGATAAATCCAGAGCGGAAATCAAGCTGTGCCACCCTTCTCTCTTATTCTCCTTGATCCGTTCCACCACCTTATCTACTGCCATTACCGTGTCTCTTCCCGTACGAAAACCATATTGGTTCGGCGAGAAGTGATTCCCTTTGTCACACCAAAACTTCAACAGAAAGGAAGAGAGAACATATCTACCAAAGTTCTGGCACACAACATTGAAAGGCGCCAAAATGAAGCCATGTCATTCAAATCGCGCGATAAGGTCGCGCGAACCTGCTATTACAGAAAGTGCGCGGAAAATCAGTACTATAAATAACATACCAGAAATGACAGCTTCAGTTTCAGTTGATTCGTCAAGAAGAGTACTTTGACCACGCTACTGAAGATGACCGCCGTAGTTGCAGAAGAAACGTTTGGAGATTGTAACCTAAGAAAATCACGGCAAAACCCAGAAACCAACCAACACTCTGACGCCTGCCGTGAAAGCCTAGATTTCTCTGTAAATTACATTTTGAGCGAGAAATTGAAGTGAAGTCGAATGTGCCATAAAGAAAAATCAACGCTTTTTTGACAAGGGAAAACTATAAAATTAATCGTTTTGAAATATTTGGCGAAAACCCAGAGATGTCCGATCGTTAATTTGAAAACATCTGAGTATGCATGAAAACACACAAAATAGATATTATCCTGATTTTGCCCGTGTTTTTGCGTTCATTCTAAAAAATTTACCTAGAAGTGAGTTCAAAAATATTAGCAAGTAGCATTCTTTTAGGTGAAAAATTATTTACTTTCAGTTGCAATAATTTTTGTTCTAATCATTTGAGAATTACAATATGAGTTCAAATACCCTCATATTCAAGTCCCCTTGTTTGATGTATTTCAAAAAAAATGAATATGAACAATACTCAATTTTTGTCAATACTTTCCGCAAACTATATCAATATGGAATAAATTGTTAATTTTACAATTATATCATAACGCAATATTTTGGCAATATTTTGGTACACCTTCAAGCCTTTCTTGAGCATAGGATATTTCAAAGGAGTTCTATGAGTCCTTCGAGGGTAACATAACATTTTCCTATGAAGTATCTACAATAAACTTAACATATATCTTAACTCCATAGAGAGTAATACAAAGTTTTCACAATAACTCTCATAATTCAAACTTTGCATTCTCGTTCATATGGGATATATTCTATAATCTCTGTATAACTGTTCGGAACAAAATTGAGAAAAAATAAATCTATGAAGTACAAAAAATATAAGTTCATCTAAGTTGAAAATAGATATAGATAGGATCTGATATAGGATAATACCGGTATGTTCATCGATATATGTTATCATTGTGAATATTTTTCCAAATTATATACAAATATTACACCAAACACGGAAGCACAAAAAATCACATCTGCTCAAAAACTGATAAGTAGAGACTAGAGCTAGTTGAAACGAATAATGTCTTCCATAATATTAACATTCGTTTTCGATATATCTGATTTTGAAAATATCGCCTGATTTGTATATACTTGTTAACCACAGAGCAATCTGAGAATTCAAATAAGTGTGTGTTGAATAATATCTGCGAAGAAAACTTCGATTTCGATAATGAGTGGACTTTCAGTTTTATTTCGTGATGAAAAGAGTAGCGGCGTTGGCTAAAACTGGGACAAAATGGTCCTTTTTTAAATTTCAAACACCCAACAAAAGAGATTGCAGACTCAGACGCATCATGTTGGAACTGAATACGAAAATTTTTCTTCAAGTGACATTCTCGATATGAAATATATTACTGTTACTGAAATCTAGTTGAAAAATATTTTGTTAACTAGAAATTGATGATTATGGGAATTACTCAGTACTTGAGTCACATAAAAGCATTTTTCATAAAATTACATATACAATTGAAAAACTGCATTGTTCTGAACATTGTTCAATTTCTAATAGTATATCATCTCTGAGAAAAATTTGGTTCCCTTTCATGATTCCATTGTCTCTATGGTAAAAATGTATTGTACATTCTTAGAAACCACTGCCCACTTGTCTATTTTTTTTTCACCGCAGAAATATATTTGAAGTGATTTGATTCAAACCACATAATTAACACTACACAAACATGTTGATTGTCCTTTCAACGGGAATTCACCGTAACGTTTTCTGGAGATGATTCCAAATTCTCTTGGAACATATTATTGTTGTTTTGTTCCCAATTCGTGGTTTCTTCTGTTGTGGCATTTGATTCTATTTCGGCATCACTTTCTACATCCTGAACGAATCTGCAAAGAATGGTAGTGCATCGTTAATAAAGATTGCTTCTTACGCAATACAAGCAAATGAATTCAATAATATAAAACTAGATTAGTTAACCCTTCAAGCACTGACGTTACCATATGGTAACAGAGAGAAGACAGTTTTCTACCGCCAAATAAATATTGAAATTACATCTTAAAAATTTAGATGGCGCTAGGATAGTTATCTTCATGCATCGAACTACGTATATTTTGATGTTTCATGCACAGTTGGGACTTTCAATCCGTCAGATAAAGTGTTGAACGATCGTTTCTTTTCACCCGGCAGAAAAATGGATATCCGCTTCACGTAAGTTGCCAGAAATACCGCAATTTCCTCTATTTTGCTAATTCAACCATATTGTACGATCAATAATAGATAGAGAAACATTAGTCACTGTCAAAAATTCAAAAAAGAGGTTTTGATTTTGATCATCATCCCGATATATCACGGCGTTACCAAATGGTAACGCTAGTACTTTAGCCTGATATTATGAACAAATTGTTTTCAGTGGAGGATTAACCCTCGAGGAAGCTTTGGAACTGGCCTATTCAGAGGAAAATGACGTATCAGATATATATATCACCCCACCTGAACCTCATGTACTAACTGATGAAGATTCAGGAGATGAATCAGAGCTAATACCTGATCATTTCACTGGAAGACAATTGCGATCTGAAGCAGAAGTATTATTTAGAAATGGTGATCATGTTACAGAAAGTGTTATGTATGACACATCAGATTTCTTTCAAGAGAATGAGAGAGTTAGAAATGACAATATTGGAAACGCTGACAATGCCAATGCTGACGTGGTGAATACTGAAAATTCATTTCTTTATGAAAATTGCAATACACATGATATCGAATGGATCAGAGGGGACATGACTAGTATCCAAAACGTCTTTCCTAGCAGCGATTATTCTAAATATAAAAATATGTCAGCTACTGAATTATTCGAGCTATTTTTCGATGATTCAGTCACCTCTTTGTTGCTTCAAGAAATACAGAGATATGCTTTGTTTATGAACTTTCCTGACCCCAAAGTGACACTTGCTGAACTGAAATGCTTTATTGGTATATTGATTGTGAGTGGGTATAATGAGTTGCCTGGAAAAAATACTACTGGGTTTCTGAAAACGATATGAAGAATTTGGCTATCAGTAACGCGATGAGGCGAGATCGTTTTTTTTAAATAATGCGATTTCTGCATTGTTCTGATAACACGCAGATAAATAAGGAAGATAAGTTATGGAAACTCAGACCAATGATTGAGAGGATAAAAAAAATTGTTTACAGAATTTTGTACCCGAACAACATATTGATTATGACGAATCAATGATAAAATATTATGGGAACCATGGGTGCAAACAATTTATACGTGGTAAGCCCATACGATTCGGCTACAAAGTTTGGAGTATGAATACAAAAGAGGGTTACCTCATAAATTTCGAGGTATATCAAGGTAAAAGATTCGTTGGAAACGAGAAAGATGAGCGAGCTTTTGGAAAGGCGGCTGCTCCGTTTGTTGCTATGTTACGAGACTTACCTCATAAAAATCTACCCTATAAATTCTACCTAGATAATATTTTCTCAAGCATACAGCTTTTCAATTTTTCACGAATAAATGGATATTCTGGAACGGGCACCATAAGAGACAACCGGATTCCAAAACAGTGTCCTCTCAAATCGAAGGCAAAACTGAAAAAAGCACCGAGAGGAACATTTGATCACTGTATTGCTAAAGATGTTGGTATCATTTTAGCTAGATGGGTAGACAACAGTATAGTTACAGCCGCTTCCACTTCATATGGAGTACAACCAACATGTAATGTAAAACGTTATTCTCAGAGTGATAAGAAGGTGATAGAGGTACCAAGACCTAATCTTATTGGTCAGTATAATAATTTCATGGGGGGAACAGACCAAATGGATGAGAATTTGGGAAGATACAGAATATCAATTCGCGGAAAGAAGTGGTGGTGGTGTATATTCACTTGGATGATTGACGTGGCGATAATCAATGCATGGATTTTACGTAGAAAATCGATGGGTGTACATTCGGAACAATTATCATTCCGTAGAGATATTGCTCAAACATATCTGCATAAATATGGCGTGATGCCAAAAGTTGGTGGACGTCCTCCTACTGATAGAAACAGCATTTCATGCAATAGAGTGGCTGATGATGTAAGATACGATGAAATGAATCATCTTCTGGTCCATACCCCTAATAAAAAAGGCGGCGTTATGCAGGCGAAGGCTATAATTCCAGTGTGAGAACCATGTGTAGCAAATGCAATGTAGGTTTGTGCATTGATTGCAATCAGATATTCCACACACTATGAACATAGATGTACACTGGAAAAGTTACTCTAAATTCGTATTTACTTCTTTATTTTTGTGAATTGAAAACTATTTAGCTCATTAAAAGTGTTGTAGTCATTTTTATACCTCACCTTCCATGAAAGTACTAGCGTTACCATATGGTAACGTCTCATATCTCCCACCGGAAAATAATTCTGTCGAAAGTTTTGTATAATCAAGTCACATCACTTCATTGTTTATCAGAAAAAAACATTTTTCGAAACAGAATAAAAAATGTTAAACTTCGGACTTGAAGGGTTAATATTCGGAATTGAAATTTTCATTATATATAGAGGAATTATACAGTTGGACAACATTGTATGTAGATTCTTCTTTGGGTATTTTGACTTTCCGAAATCTGGAAAATATGAAAATTGTAATGGATAATCTGTTGTAATAGGTAATATATAAGAGACGTTGAGAAATAAAACGAACGTGCGAAGAGAAAACTGCGAATACATTTAGATTTTTCCAATTCCAAAGGCAGGGGAAGATCCCTCCTGAACATTGGATAGGATAAATGTCTGAATACTTTCTTAATGTTGATACGCAACATCATTTGATACCACATGTTACTTATAAAAAGCATATTTTTCATACGTAAATAAAGTTTTCCTTCACAATTCTAACTTTTTCTGTGAAAGGTGAAAATACCTGAAGATGGTCGATAAAAACTTTGATTTCTTTCATAAAAGAAATATAGTTGAAAAAAACTAAAAAACGACTCTGAAAAACATCGAACTAAAAAGTTAAAAATATTTTTTTAAATAAGCTCAAAACGATAACGAACAAAAAATACTAGTATTATTGTGAAAAAAGCGACGGGCGCTTGAAATACAAAAAATATGACACAAAGCGCCCACGCTTTTTTCACAATAATACTTGTATTTATCGTTCGTTATTGTTTTAAGCTCATTAATGAAACTATTTTTAACTTTTTAGTTCGATGTTGTTCGAAAAAGTGTTTTTTTAGTTTTTCAAACTATATTCAGTTTATCTAAACTTTGGGATCAATCAGCCGTATATTGTTTAGAAAAATGACCATTGATATTTTCCGATTCCGGACAGGGAGCCTGAAAATCAGCTACCAAGCCCAAGAAAGGCAGCAGGCGTGCAAAGGAGGGTTACAAATAAGGCAGCAGGCGCTTGTTAAGTGCAGCGCCATCTGCCCGCGAATAGATCAAGCAATAATATCGATATATCAAAGAGGTTACGTACAGCGCCATCTGCCCATGAATAGATCAAGAAATAATGTCGATAATTCTGTCAAATACAGATCCCGAGCTTGAGAGTTATAAGCAAACAAACAAACAAACATATATACATACAAGTGAAGCCAATGAAAGCGTTTTAAAAATGACTGCCGTTCAATATGAATGATTTATATTCAATGCATTTCAGATAAAGAAACAAGTTTTATATACTTTATTAAAATTCAATTGAAAAAACTCGTGTTCAATCTTCTCCTAAACAAAGTGCTCATCTCATCGTATAAACTCGTCATTGGAGAACCTGATGTTATTTTAATGAGTGCCTCCTCGTTGGAATTATCTTAATTTGTCATAATCACAAGTTATTTGTTGGGATAGCAAATAATATTTATTTGCATTGCATCCAAGGTACAGACCGACAAACAAAATGTTGACATGTTTATGTTGGTGTTTTCAACGTATATCCCTTATCGTGGAACAATAAAATTATGGAAGGATCCACCATCATTGCCATAGCTTGTCCCATTTGTTGAAAACTGTCTCTGCCACTATATTCTATTTCGCTTTTGGGAATGGAAAGCTATAGTAATGACAGCAGCACTAGCTCCAGCAGCAGCTGTGTTCAGTTCCGTTTTTACTTCCAAACTGAGTTTGGTTTAGACTTGGCAAGTAGTTTCGGTATAGACGCGCAACATTGTTGAAGCCATGTATCCGGATATAAGTTGCTGTGTCCAACAAATATGTTGCCAATACTATCAACATATTGCCGACATTTTGTTGGCCGGTCTGTACTTATCTTGAGAGTAATATTTTTAGCATGTCCTATGTTGGAGTCTTCAGGAGATGAAAACATATTTTTTTTTGGTTGTTGAAATGTGCATCGAGAAAAGTGTTGCCGTTCTGGTGTTTGGGAAAAGTGCTTGTTTTGGACTATGAATTATATAAGAGCAATGCATTTGGGTATATGAATCATTGTTTTGTTATAGTAGAGGAATTGTCATTCAAAAGTGACACAGCAAACGTTATCCAGCTGTCAACTTAGCTTTGTCTGCCTGTGTTGTTGTCAGTCATTCTCCTACCGTTTTTTGTTTCAAGAAGTTTTCAATTGTTGATACAATTATCGATGTGAATAATTTCGTGAAAGTGTTTTACTAAGTGCAATTATTTATTACTTATCCATAAAATAGAGTGAAATGAAATGCCCAGGTGAATACTCACGACATAAGATATCTACACATTTCCGTTTTTGGTAACAAGAGAATTCAGTAATTTTAAAATTTTGGGAAAATATATTCATTAGTTATATTACATTACATTAATCAAAAAGTGAACACAAAATGAGGTATTGAAATATTTATAAGAATATCCGAAGCTGGTAAAGTCAAGTTAGTCAAGTGTAAAACAAATACGTGGCAAATGCCAATCAAAGGTAATGAAAAATAGCCTTTAAATTCTGACTTCTGAAGGCAGCAGACTACATAATTTTTATCAAGAGGCTAATCAGCATAACAGAAGACAGATTCATGCAACACCTAAGAAAGTTGTATATCACTATTTTTATGTCTTGAGAATTCATGGTTTTTTCTGGCTTTCCTCAAAACGGCAGAAATCTCAGTCGGACAATTGCAGAAGGCTGTTATTATTGTTTCGCTCCCTTCATTGTTGTGGAGAATGGTCAATCGGTTAACGATGTCCACCAAATGGTGGGCCTGATGGGTCAATCATTGCCTACTTGGATGCTGTTTTCAACAAAGTACTGAGAAATTTATTATCATCTACAGCGCTTATACAGTATCAACGAAATACTAGTGGTAACGATATTTGTGGTGGAGTTTTTGGCGTATCCTTCCAGATAAAGAGAATAATGATACTGATGATGAAAATCTTCATTTTTAGAAAGTCCAAAATACAAACAAAGACAGTCACAATATAACCCAATTGAAAATTATAAATAAATGCAAAATTCAAACAATGAAATAAATTTATACTTATTTTCTATTGAGGAATATTCATTCAATATTATTGTTGTCTGAAAACAGTTTCAATTCACGCTTGGAAATTTGCATGACATTGCCAAGTTTGGTGAGGTGTCTTCAGTGAAAAAAAAAAGATTCATCAGAAAAGCCAAAGGCCAAATGATAGTAATCAACATAGATATCATGAGTGAGTAACTGAAAATGAAATACATGCTCGTGCTTGATGTTTGCATTGGAAATTATTGATCAACTGTTTACGATTTCTTACGATTCGCTTTGAGCTGTTGCTTATATTGAGATGATTATGAATATATTCTTACTAGTCAGCACCCACCAAAAATCATTTACACACAAATGAATATATATCTGAAATTATAGAAGTCAAAACGTGACATACCAAATGTCATAATGGTAATATAAGTATTTATCCACCATAACAAATCCAAATAATCACAACAATTAACTCCAGTTATATAGGTGAAATGGCGGAGTATAAGCCAAGGCTTTTTCCAACTCAACTTTGATTGACTATTCGTTAGAAATATATGACAAGTGGCAAAATCGAGTTCAAAAGGTGTTAATTTGGAAACTTTCTACTCTTGATATCGTCTTTTCAGGAAGTTGAAAAAGGGAGACATGTCGATTTCATTTTCAAGAGGTCAGTTTCAAAGTATAGGGTTTGTTCCTTCACGAGATATTGACCTCAGAATCTTGAATGGAAAGGAGCCCTAGTGGTACACCTCTTCAAAAGACTCTCAATTTATTTATTTCCATTAGTACGAGAATTTATAATTTTTTGACAAATGTTGAAAATTATTGTATTGTGCCTTAGTGAAGAGTAAGACAAGAGTAAGTAAGAGTTATATAATATGGAAAGCTTGACAGTGGTCCGAAGGGGACGGAATTGTAAAGAAATCGTAAAACTCGCATATTTTTCGGGAAGAGTACGTACAACGACTACCAAAAAATATTGTTTGGGTTGATATTTTTGATAATGTCCTTAATAATTTCACAGTAGGATGTCTTTAAGTTTCAGCTAACCCGTTAATGGTCACAGGTTCCAATATTACTATTAATAATCATTATTATTCCACATCAGAATGAAAACCAAAAATAATAATCTTAGTATAAGAATCAATTGTTAATTTTATAATATAGGTACTTACTAATTATTCTGAAATTCAATAAAGCTCTTTAAACTAATAGTGCTTAATTTTCTCTGTATGATCGTAGAAAAAGTATAGTGTGCAACATGTGCGTGAAGACTTTTTTACACTCGCGTTGTTTGCGTTTCCACGCTTGTGTAAAAAAGTCGATTTCACGCACTTGTTACACAATATACTATTTCTCTGGTTTTACCTAACCATTCACTGAAAAAAGACCCAATACAATGATTATATTGAAACAATATCAAGGAATTCAATGCTTTCACTGCAGGAAAATTCTATATTTTTTAAAAATGTTCAAAAATAGTCGATAAAAGAACCATTCATCAGAGAGTTGATTGAAAATGCTTTATCAATATGATGAACCACTTGGTTTTTATTTTCACTCCAAACTCTAACTTGGTTGACGGCTAAAAGTATTTCTTGATAAAAATTGACGTGTCAAGTGCTTTTCATGTATGAAAGCAACACATGGAAGATGCATATGTAGTTAACATAGCTAGTTACATTTCAAAAAATTGATATTCTGACCCGTTACTTGATGAAAATTAGGTTTCACAAAATCTTTTATTTGAAACGCTTTACACGGTAGCTTCATCAGATGTATACGATAGTGATATATCGAACTATACTGCAATGTCATCAATATTACATAGGTAATGACAGAACTCACCAGGTAAATGATCAAATCTGTCAAAACTCAATTAGATAAATGATTCATTCTGGCAAATCAGGTAGATTTTGAGAGAACAATCATTAAAATAATTCTCCTAGGAAAACAGTTGAACTGTAAATATGTTAATCATTGACATTTCATGGAAACAAATTTAGTAATGGTGCTCACCATTGCCAAATTAAGTGATAAAATTCAATAATTATCATTGCGATTATACATCTCAAGTGAAAACCCCATCCCCCTAATGGCCTCTCGATTTGATGTTGGGGTTGCCATACATTTCATTTGGAGAATTATTCACAGAGAAATTTCAGGCACAAGTGAACACAGAAAACAATACCTATTGACCTGCTGACGGTCATAGTTGACGAAGTAACTGATTGAAAGCACTAAAATATTGAAATTGGTTTCATGATAAGATATGAATAAAAAAGTGATAAATAATTCGAACGTCTGAAAATAAAAATAAAATCAGGCAACCGAAGTGTGCTTTCTAGCCATTCTGTTGTAACTGTGAGTTTTCTAATAAGAAGAGAAAACGAACGATATTCGAGGACAAACTGGAAAAAATACAGTTGAAGAGTGAGTGGAAATTTTTAGTGAGAGAGTGGAATGAAATGTTGAGATTGAACAAATAAAGATAACAGTTTGGAGAACACTTTATACCTCAAATCAGTCACTAACTTATTCGTTTACAATATGGTCAGTATTGATTGAATTACAGAGAATTATATTAGTTGAAAAAATGAGACAACGGTGTCAAATGATCAGATTTGAAAACAAAGTGAAGAAAACGTTCTTTGAAATGTGTATCTTTTCATATTGATTCTTTGATTGAAGCCAGTAACTTAGCTACTATCTTCAAAATCGATTTGGGTTGATGAATCTCTGTTTGAGGAATTGACGAAATGATTTCGATTGATTTTTTTACTGTTTTCCATGAAGAAATAATTTTTCTTGCCAATGAAACATTTTTGAGATTGAAATGAATACGAATCAACTTACGTGTAATGTTTTTCTTCTCCTCTCATCTCACATATTACGTTTGTTAAAGCCATTATATAATTTTTCGCTAATGTTAGGGTTTCTATCTTCGAAAGTTTCCTCTCCATTTTTATATGCGGAATCACTTCTCTGAGTTGCTGAAACAATACATATAGCTCTATACTACCCACATCGGCTTGTGATGCGCTGTTTGGAACCTTCAGTGAAGTAATGAATATTACTGGAGTTTGATCCCAACACCAAACCGTTATTTTCAACACCTCGACACGTGTTTCAATCACCGAGTGATCATCTTCAAGGAGAAGATTATTCTTCCTCTTCAACACGATCCTTAATGTTGGAATTAACTCCAGTAATATTCTTTACCCACATCGGAATAATATGGCATTTATCAGCCTTCCAATAATAACGTAGAGAATATTTTGAAAATGTGATTGAATATATTCAATTGAGAGACATGGAACAATGAAAATTTTTCTATTTCTGCATTCATGTTCCTTATCGAAAAATATTGATTGGAATGCATTTTTTGTAGGAAATAAAAAAATTGTACTCTAAAAAATCTGGAAGATTATGAATTCATAAAAGGAAATAGGTTACTGAAAAAATATATAGTTGTTTCAATTTGTATCAGTTTTCTTTGAGTGACAACTGAAAACTTTCGTGTTCTCTTGTCTACCCGAACTTCAACGGCTACAAATGGCACTTTCAATTCAATCGATAAATCAATCAATCAATATTAATTTCCATTTTGCGACATGGCTTACATGTATTGGAATCCTCAATTCGCAGGTAAATTAGTACATTACAATAAAATAAAAATTTACATCAAAAAAGAGAAATGAAGAGGTGAAAATACACTAACACAAAAATTTACATCACACATAGTTAATCACATTGTTTATGAATTGTTATGAAATCACATCTACATATATAAAAGAAAGAGGTGTTAGTTACACTATTTATAACTCAAGAGGGTTGCTCGTAGGGGTGTGACCGGTTGACGGAGGGAACAAATCTATTCTTCAGTTTTTAAGTGGCTCTACTGGTTATATATGTATACTGATATATAAGTAGTAGAAACAGTAGTGTAACAGTTAGTATTTACGGTTATGTGTACTATATATGTATGTATATATTTTGTTTGTTCTAGCATCATCATATACAAGTATCTTGAATACTTCCGTGATGTTTTCAATGTTTACTCATTATTGTGAAATTGGCCGAGGTGGTAGTGCGCCCGACTCACGATCGGAAGATCGTGGGTTCAATTCCCGCCTCGACCAGATATTTTTCCCGACAGAATTCATTTGGTTGAAGCTGGAATGATTCTACAACCGTGTTAGGAATCTAGGAATCATGCGTTGAAAGGTAAGTCCTCGTTAGTCCTTAGCTCGCACAAGTTTCTCAACTTCTGAGAGTTGTCGTTCGTATTAGGGCGACAGCTGATTAACGGAAAAAAAGATTTTTAAACAGATTTTCAAACAGATATTATTCATGTAACACTGTTTTCTTTATGAATTATTTCCTTGAACAAACATTTTATTTTTGCGCTGGTCAGGCCCTATCCCCCGAAGCTCCGATACATTCGGGAGGGCGCGCCAGCATAATCAACCAATGACCACTTCCTACACCGTGGGGTAAGTGATCATTGGGTCCGAGAATCATGTGCCCTGAGCAAACACAGTGAGCCAAGAATGACAGCCTTCTGCATCTGTGCGGCTAACATTTCTGCCTTAGTGCGGCAAGCCGGTATGATTTTGAGATTCGAGAGTAGAGAAGACATCATTCCACCAAGGACTCCAATAATCAGAACGACCATCTTGACAGAGTGATCTGGATAGAGTCTGCGGAGTTCGAAGAGAAAATCTCGATATTTTATCCGTTTTTCCTCCTCTTTTCTGACGATATTCGTCTCGCCAGGAGCTGAAAACTCCACGACAAATATCGTTTTGGTCTGGTGGTCGAGAAGGACTACATCAGGCTTATTAGCTTGTATGAGCCTGAGGGTGGGGAACGAATACTTCCAATAAATTCGGCACTTCTCGGTCCCCACAACGGATTCAATATCCCCCGGAGCGTAGGGCAACACCGGTGTCTCGTCAATACCGTAATAGTGCCGTAGATGGTAATATAGCACTCTTAAGGCCGTGTTATGTCGATGGATATAGGCCGAAACCGCATACGCTGAACATGCTGATAGCAAGTGCATTAGGGTCCCGGGCGCCTCGCGGCAGGCCCTGCACCTTGTGTCAGGAACCTCTATACTCATCACGCGACTGCGGTAGACTAAGATGTTGAAGACACCATCCTGGCAAGCCATGATAAACCCCTCAGTTTCCGACTTCAGCCCACTCGACCTGAGAAAAGCGAACGTCAGGCGCTTTGGTAAGCCAAGGTCTTCAATATTATTGAAGAAGACCCCATGCATCGGCTTATCCCTGTGTCTCCGCAGAAGTAAGGTGATCTCTGCGGCTTTTATCTGAGCTTTTTGCTGAACGGGTTCCAACTCGGTGACAGAGTTGTAGTCACCTCGTTCAGAGTCGAAAACTATACCGAGTTCTAGCGGCTAAGAATAAAGATGTAGATGACCTAAACTACATAATTCAGAATGATATCATTGGAACAATGCATTCATTCAAATCAATTGACTGTGTAACAAATGAAGATGAAGTCACCAACTACCCAGTTGAATTTTTAGACTCCTTGGATGTGCCTGGCTTACCACTGCACAATTTACGCCTGAAGGTTGTCTCCGTAGTAATCATGCTTCAAAACATAAACCCACCAAAACTTTGCAATGGTACACGTTTGGTGGTAAGTAAATTGATGAACAATGTGACCAACGCGACGATACTCAAAGGAAAATTCGAAGGTGAGGAAGTTCTCATTCCGAGGATCCCGATGATCCCAACCGATATGCCGTTTGAGTTTGAAAGACTTCAATTTCCAATTCGTCTTGCATTTGCCATGACCAATAATAAATCACAAAGCCAATCCTTGAAAGTTTGTGTGTGGTCTGAATCTGGAAAATCAATGTTTTTCAGATGGTCAATTATATTTGGCATGTTCACGGGTCGTAAGACCATCTGCGTTGTTTATACTTGCGCCTGATAATAAAACGAAAAATGTCGTCTATGACAAGGTGCTTAACTGAAGATTGCAACCTAATAGAGAATAATTGAAATACTTGATTAATGGAAAAATTAAATTATTAAAATAAAAAATGTGCTTTTTTATTACCTTTAGGGCGGAACGAAGTTCGCAGGGTGAGCTAGTATACTATAAAAACATGTTTCCATTAAGAAAACTTCAACTCATGTTTAAATGAAGACAATTTATTCATATACTTCAATTCTTCTGGGAGATTGTTGAATATTCTGAGGCCAAAATGATCAGGAACACATGAATTCATTTTTCTTTTTGCTAAATTTACATGAAAATGTTGAATTTTTTTTTTCCATAACCATGAATATCCGAATTGCGAATAAAAGTGTTCTTACTTCTAAAAACATGGACACACGTTTCGAAAATGAAGAGATATGGAAACGTCAAAACACAAAATGTTTTGAAATTTTCTGTTAGAAACTCTCGCGATACATCTCAAAATTCGTTTGCAATGAATGTAAACATTCACCATTTGTTTCACTTCTAGAACAGATCGTTGAAAATTTTTTTAATAGATATTTTGAAGAATTCAGTTTGGAAGATATTTTTGAATTTCAAGGACAGTAGTACGTCAATTCCTCTAGTTTTCACCTTCTAATTATTCTACTGATATCTCCATATCAATAAATGGCTGCAAAATGAGTCTTTTTCGTATTTTAAGGTCAAGCGTATAATATAGCTACGGTTTTCTCTAGAGTGTATTTTGAATCTTGAAGTTATTTCAAGCGACATATTTCATATTTTTTTTCATTTTGAGTAGATAATTCAAAACAGGTATCACTGTGCCCTTTCTTACATGAATTATTCACTTCAGATAGCATCGTAAATATTTATGTGCTATACCTTCAATTTTTTCATAAGCCTCCCAGCTATAATTATGATGATCGTTAATGACAGAAAAATGAAATAATTTATAAAATTGCTTTACATATTTTTATCAGTTTTGAGATAACGAGAATCTGAGGCACCCTTGAAATTATTTGAAACACCATTTTTGAGATGAAGCAGATCTACTCCGGTATTTATGAAGTTTCAAGAATTCTGTTGTAGAATTTATGGTACGAAAGTAAATAATTTCAATATTCGAAGAATATCTCAACATTTTCCATTTTCGTTCAATATCTGCTTCCTTATTCATTTGAATATCAGGAAAATATAAGAACCGGCCACCCAACGGCATGAGAAACTTGTTTGAGGCTCTGGAAAGAAATTCAGTAAAAGGGATAAAATTAGGGCGAGAGAGATTGTGTTCAAAACAATATTACTTCTGTGAGCGGTATATTAGAAGAAAAATATTCAAAGATTCACACCGTCGATATGATGCTTCAGTTCATATTGAATGTAATGAAGTGAAAATATTGATTATTAGTGTAATTTGGGACACCCCGACTATAAACATAATATTGATTTCACGTTTCATCAAATTTAAACAAACAGTAACCTTGATTTGAAACGTATTATGATTTGTGAATCATTCCATCACTGATACTCAGCAAAAAATTTGTTATACTAGTTCAACTTACAACCTTGAGAAAATTTAATAAAATAGTATAATTGTTTAGTATTCGTGAAGCTCATGCAAACAATTAAACACATTTGTTTTCGCGATTTGCAGTTTAATAATTATTTCGTGGTTATTTTGGCAAGTTTGTCGAAATAGCGACATATTTATTCCGTAAGACATACTGATTTATAATATCAATGATATGAATATAAGCTGAGGTTTTTTCGCGGATATAATATTAACTGGCGTCAAATTGATTTAACATGAATATAATAAAGGATATACAGTGTCTTTCCCAAAGTATGCACCATATGGTAAATTTCTTTATTAAGGGTTTTTGGACAAAATGTTATTCCCGATAAAAGTTTGTGCATCCCCTAAAACTAAACATACACCAACCAAATACGGTAAAACACACGTAATATACGAGGAGCCTTCAAATATTTGATTTTGAGTCAGTTGTAAAGTACTTACATTTTGAAAAATCTCGAAAATTATTATTTAAAGAATTTTTTCAGTATTAAAAAATTCGTCCAGGTTTGAAGTCATGGACATCTAAGTGAAGTTTTATTTTTTAACCATTTTTTTAATGGGCACTAAAATAGACAACATCCTGTATGAGACGGTTTATTTTGAAAGCCTGAAATATTACGAGCATAACTATTGTGTTAACTACGGTCAATTTTGTTGAAGAGTGAAATAATTTTCAAAGTTTTTGGTGCGAAGTAATTTTAATTTTTTGTTAACAACGAAAATTACTCAAAATTATACAGTACTGTAACAAGAACTTGGTTTTCAATAATATCAAATCACAAAACAGCAAAATGAAATAGGTATTTCGTAACAAACTCGTTGTTTTCTGGAAATATTCTTGTCTAAAATAATTCTTCAAAATAATCTCCAGAAAATCAACAAGTTTGTTCCAAAATACCTATTTTGTGATTTGATATTATTGAACAATAGGTTCTTGTAACAATACTGTATATTTATGAGTAATTTTAGTTGTCAACACAAAAAATAAAAAAAGCTTTGCACCAAAAACTTTGAAAATTATTTTACTCTTCAAAAAAATTGACTGTGGTTAACACCATAATTGTGTGATTTATAATATTGCCGGCTTTTGAAATAAAACGTCGTATACAGGATGCTGTTTATTTATCATTATAGCAAATTTTTCTTTTCGTAGTCCCCATTTAAAAAAAAAGGGGTAAAAAAAATGAAACTTCACTTAGGTGGCCATGACTGGATGTATTTTTCTGAATAATTCTCCAAAATAATTCCCTGAGAATTCTTCAAAATAATGTCCAAGTAATCAACGAGTTTGTTCCAAAATACCTATTTTATTTTGATGTTTTGTGATTTAATATCATTGGAGCCGTTGGAGACACCCTACATTTTATTTTATGAGAGAGAGGACATTGGCAGATCAAGTTCTTCAGACGATGTGGTGCTGCAGGTTTTTCCGGGTTTTCCTGCAGCTGAAAAAGCAAATGCGCCACTGGAATCAATGAAGCCGCCCCGAAGCGCCAAAAAATGTTTATTGTTGTTTTTATTTTAATCGTTGTTTTACAATAAAACTTATTGAAATTGAATAGTAGGTTCTTCTTACAAGACTGTATAATTTTGAGTAATTTTCGTTGTTGACAATAAATAAAAAAAGCTTTGCACCAAAAACTTTGAAAATTATTTTATCATTCAAAAAAATTGACATCAGAGTTATGTCATTTGTAATATTGCAGGATTTCAAAATAAAACGTCGTATACAGGATGCTGTCTATTTATCGTTTTAGCAAATTTTTCTTTCGTAGTCCTCATTTACAAAAAAGGGTACAAAAAATTTAACTTCACTTAAATGGCCATGACTTCAAATCTAGATGTATTTTTCTAAATAACATTTCCCGAGAATTTTCAAAATACCAGTATTTTACTCTTGTCTCAAAATCAAATATTTGAAGGCTTCTCGTATATTACGTGTGTCTCACTGTATTTTGTTGATGCATCAGGAATAACATTTTATCGAAAAACCCTCAATAGAGAAGTTTCCCATATGGTGCATACTTTGGGGATGACACTGTATATATTCAGTGAATGATTTTCACTTACCTAATTACTCAAAACTAAGAGCAAATCAACTGATAAGTGTATCCACAGCATATGTTTTCCTAACAAATGTTTTAGATGATTTTTTCAATTTAAATTATGAACAAATTGGGATAAATCAAATACTGAATGTGTACATTTGAATGCATCAGTATTTTTCATCACAATTTTAATTTTTTCCAGATTGAAGAAGGTGAAAATACCAAGAAAGGTCGTTCAAAAGTTTTTACAACTGGTAGAAACGACTCGGCCAAATCAAGAAAGACCTTGGATGCTTCAAAAAGCTGTTACTATAAATAATCGTCGACAAAACGAAACGACAACAACCCAACAAGACCCATAATCTTTCACAATCGGTACTATTTTTTTTACGTTACAGGGTTACCGAGAAGAAAGAGAAATATTCATTCTAGTACAAACTCAGAAGGAACAAAATCGGAACTGGTAGGCCGTGGTCGAATGAAATTTGTGGTACCAAACGCTTCGTCAGCTATTCTGACAGACATATCAGTGGTGTATTCGAATAACATTTTATTGTAGAATTTTCACTGAACAGTTAACAAAACGTATTTCGCTATACAGTATCTTCCTCAAGCGTTCTCAAACTGAGTAAATTCTACTAAATTTGTGTTTTATATTAAAACTGTTTTCTACCTGTGTTTACGTAAAAACTAATAGGAATTTTTGAATATCATAAAAGAAAATTTTTACCAACTCACGAACATGCATCATTTGCACTTTATATAATAACCATTCGATTCATATGATCTTCTACTTATTTAATGATAGATGAGTTTACCTGGGTTCAGGTAATAACCTTCACCTGAACTCTGATATATTCTTCGACTTCGAGAGACAACCTTCATCCTCGTAGAAAACGTATATACCACTGAAGATGAAGCAGTAGCGGACGCAACATTTTGTACCATTTCATTCGACCACGACCTACCCAACCCAGATTTTTTTCATCTAATCATGAATACTTCTCAATCATGAACAACAAAATGTGAAAATTTACCAAAAAAGGAAGAAAGCAATCGATTTCAAAAAGTAAATCTGAGGCAAGTGTGTAGATCATGCAAAGAAGTAACTTTCAGACACAAACTAGAAGAACAAGCCTTTTCGAAAGAAAAATACTTTCGAAACAAACACTTTTTTATGAACCCTGATTTATACAAAAACACTTATCTCTATTCAGTTTATACTCTGATCATTCGTTATGGAATCGAATCAGATATCATTCACAGGATTCCTACACAATATAGTTATTGAAAGAGGTGACATTTCACTCACATGGAATATTATCATCTTCACTGGTACACATCCGATGTTTCGCCGTAAGACACTTGCCTTATCAGCTCTTCAGTACCAAATCTTTGGAAGCTTCCAACAGTTTTTTTTTTTGTTCAAGATGGAGAAGTAGATAGCCAAATCTTTTCTTCCTCGTGTTTTTATACTAGAAACAGCTCATGAATGCGACAAGACAAAATTTGGTGTAACAAAAAGGCTAATGAAGTTTCGCGTTAGTGAAAATAAAAAGGAAAACAGAAGACCGACAGGTGGGAAACAGCAGAACCTGTCGAGACTAGGCTTGAAAACGTCTATCAGTTCTATACTAAGATTATATATATAAAGGAATACTTATTTTTAAGATAGTTCAAAGAAACCCCTCACGTTTGACCAATAACCAGACCAGTATAGAGGTTCGAGACGTGTGAAAATTTTGAATGAGGTGAAGAAAAAGTTACATGTACACAGTACATGTTATTCTGAACAAGAAAAACGTACGTATGAAACGTGCCTTTTTGAGTAAAACGTCTGGAAATATCATTCGGAAAGTTGTAAAGTAACTAGGTTTTTCTGACAATGGAAGTTCTAACCTCAAACTCAAAGACAATTATATATACCATTCGTTAAATGTTTAGGGTGAAATAAAAAAATTGTGTTATTCATTGAAATATTGGAACACATTCCATATCATTTTCTTATCTTGTGTTACATGTTTCTCTTCGAGTATAAAATTTATATTTGAACTCCTGAATCGATTATTTGAAAAAAATATTCACCTCGAATGCGTCGTTCAGCGAATGCATCCTCATTCTTTCCCTCTCGTTGCTTTCCAGTCTTCTTAAATTTCTCTCTCTTGCACTTATGCAGGTTTTCCGCCGCCTTATCGTAGTTCCACTTGAGGCACTACCACTGGAGGCACTTCCTAATGTGAAAGGAAAAAACAAGAATAGGTATCTAGTTTTGCTTAAAAATTGAAATGTATGTTCAAGTGACCCATTTTTTTGTGAACGGTAGATATTAACAGACATTCTTCAAAATTCATAATAAAAAATAACCTATGAATGGATTTCGTATGTGAAAAGTATTAATAACAATTGTGAAATGTACATTCCTTCACTGATTTTCCATGATTTTCTTACTGTGAAAGACGGGTAGCTCCAATTATTTAATAAATACTCAGCAAAACAAAATTTTGTTTTTTTATGAACTTTCCATACAACACAATAACAGTTTGATGCAGTTTTGTTTATCGACTCAATTCATCAACACTGTAACTGAACAATTGATTTAAAGAATATAAAAAAATTAGAGGTGACTAATAATTTTGTGAAGTTTACCTAGTTAGCTTTTAGAAAAAAATTTTTTTTATTTCATCAAGGATTTTCAAACAGAAATGTGTTATTCTTTACGTATTTATCCAGTAATAACTCTTGACAATTTTGGTAATTTGAACATATTCATTTGAACCTATACACTCAGCGAGTGTAGTGGTCAAGAACGACCATTCATGTGTTTTGAGTATGACCAACATTCCTAGGTACATTTTGAAGTTTGATTCATGAAAAAAATCATTTGTGAAGTCAGGAAAAAGCAGTAATAGAAAATTCCGAATGTGTCCCAAATATACTTCATGATGATATCGAGTATCAAGCAAACATTCGAATGAAAGCAACCGTTATCACGAAGTTATTCTACCCACAATTTGAATAGTACCTCCATGTTTCCGCCTCTTTTTACCGGTTGTTTCGTCACTACTGGATTCTTCGGTGAGTTCATCTCTTCTGTCAGGTGTGTGCTTTCCAAGTTCCATTTCCTCAACTTCCACGTCTTCATCTTCTTCGTGCCAGGAAGCTGTCATTTCTAAAGATCGCATACTTCTTTATTCACCCTGGAATAAAGAAAACAGGAATGTATTATGTTCATATATTTGATGACATATGTGATGTATGTGTGTTTGTGTGTTTGTGTGTATCTCTTTCACTACATTTTTCCATTTTCATGCATGTTTCTCATGATGAGATCATGACAGTATTTGCTAAATTCAAAATTTCCATCACGATTTAGTGACAGAGCAAAAACTTGTTCTGTGAACATGAATTTTGAACAATGCCTTCGTACTTTTTGATGTACCGTTTGGAACCTTTGGTGTAGTAATGAATATAACTGGAGTTTTTGTCCAATACCAAACTGTTATTTCAACACCTCGACACGTGTCGATCAAACTTGATCTTCCTCTTGAAGATGATCACTTGGTGATTGAAACACGTGTCAAGGAGTTAAAATAGCGGTTTGCTGTTAGGAAAAATCTCCAGTAATATTCAATGCCTGCGTGTTGATTGATATATCCGTTTAGTTTGTTTTATTTTTTGTGTTTATTATAACTTTCAATGCAATGAAAATATTTTTGTAATCATTATCATCATTATTATTACTGTAATTTTTTTTCATCATTATCGTCTTGTACTCACTTTCCCAGACGTAAATACAATTCAGGATTTTTACGTTTATATAACGCCGGAAAGTGAAACTTATCGGCTCAAAAGGAAGATATTGTGGAAACGTCATTATGATGCTGTTCATCATATATAAAACGAAAAACAGACGTTACTTCAACATGTACAAATAAAAATGCAGTTGGTTAGCAAATATGCAGTTGGTTAGTACCTCGTCCATTAGATGGAGTGACATTTTGTTGTTCGCTCCAACTTAGGAAGAGGAATGAAATACTTTGAAAGAATTACGATTTTCAATTATGGAATATCATTGACTTTAGTTCGATGATGGCCACTATCTTGCACTGATGATTGGCTAATGAGCCCGAAACCGGATTGCAAGTGTTCCCATTCCAAAATTGAAGGTGGACTTTTCAGTGGACATATACTCCCCAGCAATGAAGAAAAATGGTCGAATAAAAGGACAAAATTAATAAATGCGTACAGAAATGTTACAGTGTCTGAATGAAAATTCAGAAGGGATTTATTCAACTTGTCAATAAAATTTCTAATGACTATTTTACCTAAGTACAAAAAAAAAACAAAAATAAATTAATTTCAATTGAAAATATATTTTCTCCGGGTGTTGTTTTGGAAATCCACTCGGTTTCCTTTACCTAATCCATTCAATTTTTTTTGACACAATTATATAAATATCAAATTCAAGATGTTGAGAAATTGAATGACAGTTTTTGCGTACACACTATATTAGATGTGGATAATTTTACTTGGTATAAAACTTCCTCAGTTCAGTCAGTGGTGAACATATTTGATCTGAATCGATTGGGAATGGTGCCAGATTCTAATTTCCATTTCGTTTTCTTATCTTTTGCTGGGCTGCGTTATTAGTGATTTGCCCTTCTAATTGAAGTAATTTGTGAAAAACCTAATTGCTTCTATTATTCCTATAGACTTTTCTCACATTTTTTGTATGAAGACAAAGAAGTAAAAAGCCAAAAACTTATTTCACAAAAACTAAAACATTTTCCTCTCAATTTCAGAAAGTTAGTCATGAGGCACAAACTGTGATAAATTTAGTCAATAATGCCCTTTTGGGGTTAATATTGAAATAATTTTTCATCTGTCTTGTAAACATTGTGAACAATGTAAACAATTAATATTCAGGGAGTAACGGGGATAACGAATAGGGATCAACTAAATCAACTGAAGAAAGAAATTTAATAGAATAATGAAATATTGAACAATAAAATAATAATTAATATGAGCAGTCCAATGTAGTGTGTTAAAATCTAATAAATTTTTTGGTTTATACAAATTTACTGAAGGTTCTTTTTACGATAATTCATATATGCAATCAATAGTTTCATTTTGTAAAGATTTCAATGGTTTTGTCGTAGATTAATCGGATAGAAATAATATAATGCAGTTGTAAGTATATAAGACTTTCATGATGTCGAAATTAAAATCGTGAATAAACGTCATGAAGCAACTTTGTTCTTCATTCAAAAAATCAGTATCTTTATTCAGAGAGGCAATACATAGCATAAAAGCATAAAAGATGCTTTTTTGGAATCGCTACCATTGTCTGAATTTTTAGATGAATTTTTTCTGAACCCTAACAATATAGTCCATCATCTTTAGATGGAAGGGAAAAAATTAAATAACGTTTGAAGGAACTGATGAAAATTTTACTAAAGTAAGTTGATAATACGTATTTATCAAATATGAACAAAATAATAAGTCTTGTAAATACTCGTGCGAGCTAAGGGAAAGGATGTGTTTTACTGTTCAATGTGCGATTCCAGCTAGAAAACGAGTTTTCTTCAGTCTTTAATATTTGTATTCTGAACACGTTTATCACTAAATATCATCAACATATATTTGAGTTGTAAAATCCGTCAAAATTTATCCGAATGCGAATGATAAAGGAAGTAGGAAAATACCGGGTTCAGAATGAATTTCCTGAATTATATATAATCTATAACTACTCCGTCTAAATTATGCTTACGCTGAAGGTCTACCGAAGTCATAAACTGTGCAGCAATTTCCATATCCACACTAATTTACATCTTTATATTTGGCTATCACTGCATAACCTGTTTCAAAGCAATTAAATTCGACGTTTATACATTCTAAGTTGAATGGTAAAAATTACCTCCCATGTGACTGCTAGAGCCATGGTTCAGTCAATCACATTCTGGGTTACAGAGACCTTTTTTTGGTTGATCAATATGCACCGTTTTTCATTGTGATGAAACAGAATGAAAGTTCTTAGTATCTTTCATTGCTGGCCTAGTTTCATCATTGGAGGCCTGATAATGTCTGAATCTCGAACATGACTACTGGCGTATTGCTCGAGTATAAATTACTCGGTTAAATCTGAAGTTACCTACAAAAAAAATACTGTTTTTGCATAGGTTTACTCAATGATTTATACCCTTCGATTGGGTTTTAATTGCTCATATGAAAAGTGTAGGTCTCACAGCAAATTCGTAAATATTGATAACCCTTAGGGAAGACCCGGTATGATTGTCTCACGGGTTGGTTGTCACAGCGGTCATGGGAGATACGTATATTTGTTTTTTTCGGACGACAAAAGTAAACTTTTGTGCATTAGTGTCGAGTCTCATAAGTATTCGAGAATTTTCCGTAGATATATATCATTTCATTTATTTTTGATGTGACATATGTGGTTCATGATATCAATATCCGTTTTTATGAATGAATATCGATTCAAAGTTATTTCAGGGTTAAATTTTGTTGGCTTGTTGAGCTTCTGCTCAACATACAATTCTGTTTGTTTAAAAAAATCATAGAAATGTCATGGCATCGTTTGAGAAAGTCTGATCGACTAGTATTACACGCAGTACTGCAAAAGAAGTGATTTTGGGATTAATTTTATCATTGCACTTTGACACGGTTCTGTTGAAAAGTCACTGTCGAAGAGATGAGCAACATTGTTTCATCAATACCATCAACAAAAATTGGTTATCAAAGGTATAGGCAATCTTAACCGATGAATAGAAGAAAGAATTAGAAAGATACATATTTATGTGTTCAAGTAATTATTTCGGTAGTCTCCCAAGGATATTCGGAAAAAGTGTTACATTAACCAGGTTATATTTGCCATACCAGGCTACCAGGTTACATTTACCATAATTGTGATTTCGAATATTCACTGAATTTTAGACTGACTAAATATAATTTCGCTAGAATGGGTATTTTTAGTTCACAAGCATTGCTTCCTGATGGATATTTTTGGTATTTTAGTTACCAAATGGAAATTATTCATTTGGAGTAAATATGTTTTTCCTACGAATTAGACACTTTTTCTTTTTTTTTGTTTATAATTATGTATATTATTCCATTCCAAAGAATATATTTATTTGAAAGTTTTTTATACCCCTAAATTACTTATGTGACTATCTGCCTCAGATTCTGTGGCAATCATCCTCGGCCCGGGGTTAAAAGTCACACTTTTTCTTTTCCATAATAATTGTTATTTACCTCAGGGCTAGTAGGCAAGATAGAAAATGGAATATTCTTCAATTTCACATATGTTTCGAGTAACTACAAGTGGTAGAAAATTGCTTCTTTCGCGTTTTCATTAATGTAGGTTATGCGGGCTTCAATGGTATAGAATTCATAACCAGCGTCAGCAAGCATCAATCATAGAAGGCTGTGTTCATTGTATTTTGACAGTTGAAAACATCAAAAAACTTGTATTTTGTTGCAATAACGAATATTGCACATCCAGTAAAACCAACAAAATTTTTTGTTCAATCATACTATATGCAAAATATGCATGAAATTGTCTGATGTAATGATCAATCATCCTACCATGACTTTACCATGATTTTACTCGCATCATGAGAGGATTGTGGCTCCAACTTGAAGAAAGAAAATTTGTTCCGCATTGTCCACGAACATTTGCCTCTAAACTACGTAATATTGAAAGTACTGAATGGGAAATAGGTGAATAAATCAGTGTCTACATATTCAATTCATTTTATTAGACACATACAATTAATTGAAAACATTCAAAGTCCTACATTTTCGCAATTAAGAAATGAGAAGGTGTCTGAAAAATATAAAAAAGATCTTAGCTTTGTAATCAAAATGTATCAAAACGAAATATTATGTGAACCAATAAAAACTAATCTGTCAAAAATGATTTGTTATTGTAAACGTCAAAAAAATCCAATAAAATATCTCCTTTGCCATGGTGACTTGTCAAAATAACGTATTCTGATTGGTTTAAAATTACAGCTGTGGAATTTTCATTATAACTGTTGTACAATGTTGACATTTTAGTACTATTGTACTAAACTTATGTACATAGGTAACCTTAACCGTTTAATATTTCATTACTTCATCAAACCAGTCTAACTAGTCACATCAGAGTTTCACCGTTCAATGTGCATTACTCATCTGT